ACACAAATGATGTCTTATTCAACTGCTTTCTCAACTTTGAATGAGCCATAACAGAGCATAACACACCAACAGGGCAAAAGCGTTCCGTTCTGGTAATGTCGCTCCACCCAGGCTCATGCCTGCGGTGCCATTGAGCTCTGAAATGATTTCATCCTATGAGTCAATGCGACGTGATGTGGCTTATTTAAACTTCAACGGCATTATTCTGACCCGTTACAAAGGCTCTTACTATATGTGTGTGGTAAGGGGCATTTAAAACTGCATTACAATGGCCCAATAAAAAAAAAATTAAGTACAGGGAACAGTACTGGTTGGAATTCATAGACTGAAAATCATGATTTTCCTCTGCATAAGATTACACAAAAGCAACAACAAACACATTTAACATACAGGCATTTTCCTGACTTTCGCATATTGTGACAAATAAAGAAAAGAAACAAAGAGCATGAGAGGGATGAGTTGAGAGCTTTTCCACACAGGTCTTTAGAGCAGGTGTCTCTGCTCAGACAAGGTGTCTCTAATGCACAAGGAGACATTTAGACAGAGGTTTTTTTATTCAGCAGCGGAGCCAAAAATAGGTCAATGTTATCCAAAATAATTTGAGAGCACCAGGACTCTGCTTTCAGATGAGCCCCTGCAGTTACTGATGCACTTTCAGAAGTGGCCACATCCTGCCTCTTTCTATCCAATAGGGCTGAATGAAGAAAAAAAAGTGTTATTACTTCTGCAACAAAAGAAGTGCTGTTCCAAGCAGAGCTGAAAAAATTTTTGATGAAGAAAAAAACCAAAAGAACAACTAAACCTCAATTCTCCTTTGAGGGTCCTGTGTCAAATGAAGCCCTAAGAATGAGGCATAGTATCAGCAATGAACAAAAGAGTTCACATTAGGGTTGTGCGATATTGAAGAAAAATGTGATATGCGATACCTTGTTAAAAAATGCGATATTCGATATTGCTTAAAGTGTGTAAAATCAATTTAAATTATATTTTAAAATATTTTAAAATTAAAATTATAGAACCAATTTGTTTCAAATTCTTTCTTGGAAAAGAAAATCACTATAACTTCTGAAAGTGACCAGCAGTTTTTTAGCATTACTTAAAAAGTAATGTCACAAATCAGAAAATGAAATTTAAAGGGGTCATATGATGCGATTTCAAGTTTTCCTTTCTCTTTGGAGTGTTACAAGCTGATTGTGCATAGATAAGATCCCTGAAGTTGCAAAGACTAAAGTCTCAAAACCAAAGAGATATTCTTTATCAAAGTTAAGACTCTGCCACGCCCCCCTAAAACGGCTCGTTCTCTTGTGCATGCGCTTCAGGTGCGAGTCAGACAGCAAGACGAGACGGCAAAGAGTTGTTTTCTGCAACTTATTGCACAACTCTTTTTAACGTCAAGCAATTCTCTGCTATATGCGACAAACTAAAACTTTGACCTTTTGCAACATTTTGATTTAAGTAGCCTATTATTAAAATGATAATGATATGGCACGCCATTGCAATATGCATATTGCAATATTTACATTTGTGATATTTAGATAATTTCGATATATCGTGCAGCCCTAGTCCACATGTAAAAAAGATAAAGTAACTAAACCTATCCCATGCTAAGCAGCACACAATTCAGCCATATCAGTTCCTGTCTGACCAAACACATGAGCAAACAGCATATTTCTGATCTCAGATAAAGTATCGGAAGGGGAAAAGAGAGCTGGTTTCATTAAAAACTAAATGTGACGGTGGAATTGTGGAATGACCCACTTCTAAATCCAGCCTCAGCGTAGGAAAGGTGGTGACAGTCAGACCTCAGGGATCCGTCTGCGGATCTGTCTTTCCAGGAACTGGAAGAGCTGCCTCTCCATTATGAATGAGACGAGGAAAGGTGCTCACTGGAGGTTTGAAGTGTCTCGCCAGGCAGATCTTATCGACTGTCTGCCGGGACAGCTAAAACGACCATCCTTCACTTTCTTACAAAGCACACAATCTCAAAACAATGGGACAGTACAGTACAAGTTAGCAAGTTTTTGGAGCCCACAGAACATTTCAATGGCCCCGAGGCTGAACTAAAAGAATTCTGCTAGTTTTAAGCAACTAAATTTAAGTGTCAGAACCAGGGGTATCCAACCCTGCTCCTACTCGTTTCTGCGGATTTCAGTTCCAACCCTGCTCTAACACACCTATCTGTGATTCAACCTTGATTAACAGGTTCAGGTGTGTTCGCTTATGGTTGGAGCAAAATTCAGCAGGAACAGGGTTGGCTATACCCCTGATCTCAACATGCATTAAACTTTAAGATTTCTTTGGGGCAGGGGTAGCAAATCCTGCTCTTGACCGAATACCCTCTTGCAAACATCAGTTCCAAACTTACTCAAACAGTTGAGTTTGATTAGGGTCGGAGCTACAGTAAACTCTGCAGGATGGTAGACCTCTAGAAACTGGGTTGGCTATCCCTGATTTACAAAGTCCCATTTTCAACAAATAACTTTGACCTCGAAGTGAAATAAAAAGTTATTTTAAACAAACTTTGCATGAGCCCTTGTTTGTTTACTCCGTTCTTCTGCTCCCTCGGGGATATTCGATTCTGCTCCTAGAGGGCCACCATCTTACAGAGCATAGCTCTAGTCATAATTAAATGCACCTGAATGTGAAAGTTTTTAGGATTACTAGAAATTTACAGGCAGGTGCGCTGGAGATAAACGTTGCAAGATGTCGCCCATTCAAAAGCAGAGTTGGACACCCCTGCTCAAGAGCACCAGCTCAATGGGTAGTAAGTGAAGGTTCCATAAACAGGCCAGAATGCCTCTCACACTGGATCGGAACCATCATGCCATTCTTACTTCCGAACCCTGACTAGATGGGCTGATGCCGTACGAATACAAAGTAAAGGATATCAATGTCATCAACTGCAGCATTTGATTCCATCTCATCTGCAATAAACATAACCATGTAAATCATACAGGGATTATTACCATAGGGAATGATGGGGCAGACAGGTTCAGCTAAAGTGGATGAGGTGTGCTTAAGGTACACCAACACCAAGTTCCTCCACATACACCTGTGCACTCAGACCTGCTCTGTATGTCCGAGACGTGAAGGGCAAACTGGAATGACAGAGCAGAACCCCACTAAGAGACCAGAAAGAAGCCGAGCGGAAGAGATTAACCTCCCTGTCTGAGCACAGATCGTCTCGCTCCACAAATCTGAAACGTGTGTCTGTAGCTTCAAGGCAAAGAGAGACGCATGTGCATCAGACACTCTCTTATCACATTCCACCCACTAAAGAACTTCTTTTAGGCTCTATTTGCTAACTCCGGCACAGAGCCAGCTCTCATCTCCCTCCATCCACTGCTTCCCACTCCATCACATGGCCACCCTTCTCGTCGTTCCCGTCTACTCCTCCCAAGCATATGTCCTGGTTCCGCAGCAGGGCGCAGCTTTGTGGCCACATGCTGTTCTGGTGGGATGTGCAAGGACCTTATCTGACTAAAGAGTTTAATACTCCAATCAGAAGATGCCCAGCACAGTTCAGGTTTACAGGGAGAGTTCACCCAAAAAGCAACCTCAATCTGTAAAACTGACTTTCTTTCATAGAACACAAAAGGGGATGTTACGTAGAATGTTGATGCTGCTCTCTTCCGTTTAATGGAAGTAAATGGTGACCGTGTCAATCAAGCAGAGCCGTCCATGGGGGCTGATTTGGGGACTGACTGGGGATCTGTATTCTCTAACTCGCACTAGACCCATCTCCATGCTTGGGATAGACCTGCTGTCAAGCTCCATATTACAAAAAAAGCACAATACAAGTATCGTAACTAGTGGTCGACCGATATTGTTTTTTTTGACAGCCGATATCTTGGAAAGCAGGGTGGCCAATGGCCAATATAATTTTATTTAATATTTAAGAAATTTGAAAATTTGAAAATGGATTAAAAAATAAATGTGCAAAATAAACATGCTTATACTTTAAAATGACAAAGTATTTTTCACAAATAAACAAATATTTAATAAAAATCTAATTAAAAATGAAGTAAACACTGTAACCAACAGGGCACTCAGTATTCTGGGAAGTTTGTATGCATTGGGAATCACATTTTTTCAAATAAAGCAAAGGTAACACTCATTTTACATACAGCACACAGTGAAAATGACATATAACATTGGGCAAAAGCATGAAGCGTAATTTGAAATCATGAGTTTAAAGTTTGTCGATCGCACTCTCCACCTGTCTGCATTCAATTCACACTGACCGATCGTCACGCAGAGAACAAGCGATTGTGCAGGATACAAATGCACACTTCATAAGATCTCACAGCTGGATTCAACTAAGTTTGCAAGGTTTTTGAAATTAGATGTTCATTAGTCATTCAAAGATTTGTTTAAATGATATAAATTTGCTGAATGCTGATGGCAAACGAGAAAGTATTATAATGTTTGCCTTTCTATTACTAACAATATAAAAGCAATCGTTATAATACTTTTTGTATACATTTTAATTCCTTTGTTTAACAGTTCTATCTGATTATTAGACAGACTTCTGTCCGTGGACAGAACTATTAACGACGACAGTGAACAAGAGGGAGAATGTGAGCACTGTATGCTCAGGTGCTGCCGTTCTCAGCAACGTCAAAATAAAAGTCCCACCACGAATGCATTGGCCAAACAGAAAAACTTATGAAAAATGCCAAATATCGGCCGATATATCGGTCGACCACTAATCGTAACAGTAGTCCATAAGACTAGTGCACTATATTCTAAGTCCTCCTAAATGTCATTGTTGCATCCTGCTGCATCCAGTCACACTGGTTTGGAGAGAAATGTGGATTATTAGACGGAAAAATGTTTTGGTTGAAATACCCCTCTAACCCCAGTCAGACATTCAGACAAACATCACATAAAATCCTTTTGCTTTTGGTTTCCATAGCTCAAAAAGCAGCTTTGGAGAAAAAAAATTATGGAAAAGCAGTTATTAAAAAAAAATAAAAAATACAACAAAAGTTTCTTACCTTGTACACCTGACCATACGTGCCATTCCCGACCAGCTCCACCAGCTCAAATATTCCTGCAGGGTCCTGAAAAAAAGAGCAAAGTTTATGGTCAGCGAAAGTACAAACACAGAGAGATAAACAACCCTCTGGTAGTATAATTTAAGTATTTGTGATGTTTCTGATGTTTTCAATCTCTCGGATTTTCTCAAACTCATTTTACTTGCATAATGTGCTGTATCTACAGTGAAAAAGAGGGAAGCACTTAATTGTATCCATCGGGAAATTGGTTATAGAGGAGGAGTTAAAAAACAGCTGGCATGACATCAGCCAGAAAGGAGAGTTGTTGATTTTTTTCCTGAATAATGCGCACCAATGAATCCTTCACAATAACAACAGGAACATGTATCAAGGATAGAATTGTGATTCCATGTTGGCTTTAATAAACAGCACAGTGTTTTCAGCAGCAAGCGGATTGCTTCTCAGCTCACACAAACACAAAAACCCCTGGTGTCCTCATCACACAACTGTTGCGGTGTACCATCTCTCATGGCCAGCACCCAACCAAGTGTGAGATTTAAATCCAACACTCCATCTAACACCTAAACAAAGAAACTAAATAAAAGAGTCGATGCAGGGAGAAAAAACAGGCCATTTCGTGTGCCATTTAATCTGGCTTCACCCAAACACCACCTGGTTGAGTTTGTGACCTTAAACATCAAAAGCCTGCTCACAATCACCAATCTCTGTCCAACAGAAAGCGCTTGCGATAAAACGGTGAAAAGGGAGTGATATCTTTAAGGATGGCATTGCTCAAAGGACAAAACCGGTATTGTGCGTATGGATGTTTTCTCTTGTTTGCGCTCCACTGAGAACTACTGACAGACGGTGAGATTCCAAATCTAAACCCAGAGAAGAGTCAACCATCACATTAGTATACATGAGTGGAGGTCCACACAAATGTGACTAATTTCCATGATTGCACATGCATTGCTCTTAATAGTTAAGCTGCAGAGTGTAAATCCATCATTCACCATTATGGCTAATCCTAAACTATGGGTACGATCCAATTGCCCAATAGTGTCCCGCTAAGTGGACTTCACAGGATATTATTCAGCCAACTTAAGTGAGATTGCAAATCATAGGGGCTGTATATTTTCAGAACGAACATCAAAATACAGAGACAGGGAAATTTACACACCAGTGATTGCGTACCACTTTCGTACAATACCAAGTTAGGTCATACTAAACCATTTTTGGTTACATAACAGTTCAGAGGACATATAAACGGGGGGGGGGGGAAGTGCGGACACAAGACGTACAGAGAAAAAAAGGGGGGGGGGGGGGGGGGCAAGTAATTTGCTAAATTTATCATTTTTAATATTGCAACAAATTAGGATTTCAAGTGTGATGCTCTATAATAATGTAATACATAATATTACACAGGACATTGCAGGGCTCTCCAAATGAACATTTTGTCAAGTTAAGTAACTTTCTACAGACATCCCCGGTTCAACGTAGGAAGCACTGCACAATGCATAGAAACTTTGCTTCTTATTTCTATTAGCTTATTTCTCTCTCAATGCATCACCTAAATAGCGAAAGATGAATACATGGTTTGGCTCTCTAGGGATGAGTAATATCTAGTCCTTATGCTGACTGGCGCAAAAAAAAAAAAAAAAATGCTAGCTGCAGCGTTCACACAAGCTGCCGACCGTAGACGGTCCACACAACACTTCTTGTGAAACGAAATGTTGAATTGATCAGAAATGTGGCTTGTCTGTTAGCCAAAGCTGTAAGGCCACTGGGAAACCAGTGTCAAGACACATTCTACATTATGAGATGTGAGAAAGCTAGGGGACAGATATTGCACAATGCACAGAAAACTCAAATCTCCAACAAGCAGCAGGTTACCAGTCTGCATTTTCTGTTTTGGCAAAACCTAAAAGTTACATCAATAGTCATGTACCTTATAATTATTAAGAATGCATAACAAAGAAAGCAATTCTACAGAACCATACGTCTATAAATCATGATGCATTACTGTATGTCTACAGGAAGGTAATCCAGTCAACCTGTTGGCCCTGTTCCTCTCTGTTGTGCTGCCAATATAATTCAACAAGGGTTCACTTCTTTTTAGTTGATTTTTTTTTTTCATAACAGGCTCTAGACAAAGTGACAAATCTGTCTATTGATGACTAATACTATTACACAAAATTAGCTGATTACTTTTTTTTTTTTTTAAAGGAAAAAACTATGTCAATACAGAATAATAGCTGTTCAAGCTTTTACCCTCAAGGTAAAAACTGGATCTGTCGATTTTGAGTGACTTCTGGCTGTTCCCATAACATTAGAGGAAAACAATCGGGTTTATGGCCATTCCCAAACTCCATTTCACGCCAAGGTGGTCTCAACGCTGAGAGCTTAGTTGAAATTGCTTCAACAACCTTCATTGTAGATGCTGAAAGATGTCTGTCCATCCGATGGGTTCATGGGGCCATTTGTAGCAGAAGCTTTGAAGCAAATCTTAATCCCAAATCGAACCACATTATGTTAATCTAGAACAGGGGTCTCCAACCTTTTTTACACCACGGACCGGTTACGTTTGGAAAATATTCTAGGCTATTATATAGTATTATAATAGCATTATACAGTGGTTCAATGCATTATATTGTGTTTTTTTTTTGTCACAGATCAGACTATTTTTTTGGGATAAGCAAGAAAAAAAAATAATAAAGCACAGAGAATGACAATGCTGTGAAGGGTTTTTGAAATAGGCAAATTTTGTGTGTATGTATACGCAACTCTGTATTTCCGAGCTCTCTGAAACACGTCTCTATGCTTATGCGCACTGTGTGTGCGAGAACAGCGCGCGAGTAACGAATTGAGCTCTCTTTTGGTTTCTTCTTCTTGTGGTTTAAAATTGCTTGTACGTGTAAATCGGCAAATTAATCTGCGAATCATGTGTGTGCCGAATGGTAGGGTCTCATCCGAACGCATTACGGATCAACTGCGATCCGTTTAACTCCTAATATGTGATCAGAACAATCTTTCATTTACTTATTTAACATGAAATTGTCAAATTGCAACTCCATATCAAATCGCATACAATGAAACTACAGAATAATTAGAACAATCATTAACAAATAAATAACAGTCATATTTATACACATTTTTCCCAGAACGTTCTTGCGACCCGATAGTGGGTCGCGACCCGGTGGTTGGGGACCTCTGATCTAGATGACAATTTGCCATGACCGACAAGATTTAACCTTTAAAGTCGAAACTCAGCAACTCACTGTAAACTACAATCAAACATTTTAAATGCTAATGAACCTTTTTAAATGGTTACATTTTGGGCATGTTAATGTACAGCATAAAAGAAATGGATATTAATTTTCAGATTGGGTAAAGATTATATTTAAGTGCGCAAAGATAATCTAAATGTAAAAACAAATGACAATATAAAATGTGCATATATATACAGTGGGTACGGAAAGTATTCAGAGCCCCTTAAATTTTTCACTCTTTGTTATATTGCAGCCATTTGCTAAAATCATTTAAGTTTTTTAATATTACACAAAGATAATGCAAATAAATACAAAATGCCGTTTTTAAATGATTATTTATTTTATTAAGGGAAAAAAGCTGTCCAAACCTGCCTGGCCCTACGTGAAAAAGTAATTGCCCCCCGCTTTCTAAAATATGGTTAATCAGTTCTTTCATGATTTAACAGGAGGGGGCAATTAATTTTTCACGTAGGCCCACGTAGGTTTGGACAGCTTTTTTCCCTTAATAAATTAAATCATCATTTAAAAACTGCATTTTGTATTTACTTGCATTATCTTTGTGTAATATTTAAATTAGTTTGATGATCTGAAACATTAAAGTGTGACAAACATGCAAAAAAATAAGAAATCAAGAAGGGGGCCAACACTTTTTCACACTGTGTGTGTGTGTGTATATATATATATATATCACACAATCGAACTCTTTAGCATTCACTGTCGATTTAAAAAAAAATGCTGTTATTTTGAACTTTCTAATCAAAGAATCCTGAATTTTTTTTTACAAATATTAAATGGCGGTTTTCGATATTGATAACTATAAGAAATGCTTCGGAGGATCAAATCGGCATATTAGAATGATTTCTGAAGGACCATGTAACACTGAAGACTGGAGTAATGACTAGGATTAAAAAAAAACATTTTTTTAAAATCATAATACAGTATTTCACAATATTGCTGGATTTAATACATACTTGATCAAATAAAGGCAGCCTTGTTTAGCATGAGTCTTCTTTCAAAAATATATTTAAAAAAAATTGTACTACTTTCGAATGGGGTATATGGTATACATAAAAAGGATGCAGGCGAATTCTAAAGAACACATTTCTTATGAATATATTGTCTTTTGTCGCTTCATTCTACAGCTGGTGTCTTAACTGTTTCCCTTATTCAGCCGTTCTTCTCTTCACAGAGGTCTCATGGCTGTTTCCCCCCTCTCCTTCACCCCAGTCATCTCATGCTGGGTCTGTGCTTTGTCTGACAAGACTGGCAGGACAGCCCTTTTCTCCGGCTGCATCAGCAGACGTGTCAGTCACTGTGTCTATGGAAATGTGTTTTGCTCTTTATTTCTCCTTCTCACAGAGGAAGGACGCACATTCTCCCTGTATACTTTCCAGTCTTGGTTTATCTGAAAATGAGGGTCAGCGTGCAAACTCTCAGTGAGAGGGTGATGGACAGAGAGGAGTTAACAACCTTGCACATCACTCAGGTTTCTGTTGTTCAAGCAAACATGTTATGGTTCCTTCTCACCATCAGGCTGACCTGCCTGACAGAAAACTAACATGGCAGCACTAGGCTGAGTGGAAGGGAAAGACAGCCTGAAAGATGTTTATTTATAGAAGCAGAGGCACAACTGAAGCTAACATACACAGTTGATGCAACTCAAGGAAAACCAGTAGCAACTGCTACAGTTAAATATTAGCCTATGCAAATTTGCATACTTTTCCCCCTTCATAACTGCCGCTTCTGGAACTTTTATAAGGTGAACAGCTACCACAACACTATTAAAGGGATAGTTGC